CCGCCCCCAGCAACCACATGGTGACTCACAGCCATCTATAATGAGATCTGGTGCCCTCTTCTGGCGTGTGGGCAGACATGCCAGCAGAATGCTGTATACATAATAAATAAATACAAATAAAGTCAGCACACACACACACACACACACTCACATTCTGGGTATTATCTGCCTATTAGACATACCTTTTCAAATATTTTCTTGTCCATTGGTTGCTTTTTTGTTCTACTGTGTCCTTTCATAAAGTTTTTTTAGTTTCTATACTTTATCAAATCTAACGACATGTAGCCTTTTCCCTACACTTTTGGCTTTCTTTCATTTTGGTTTTTCGAGACAGGGTTTCTCTGTGTATCCCTGGCTATCCTGGAACTCACTCTGTAGGCCAGGATAGCCTTGAACTCAGGGATTTGCCTGTCTCTGCCCTCTGAGTGCCAGGACTAAAGGTGTGCACCACCATAGCAGCCTTGCTCTTGTTATTATCATGCTCAAACTCCTGGATTCCAGCCATCCTCCTGCCTCAGCCTCCTTGAGTAGCTGAGCTGGGTCCCCAGGTGTATGCCATTGTTCCTGGATTGGATTTCATTTTGTTCAAGAAGTTAGGTAAAACTTTTTTTTTTTTCTTCAAGACAGGGTTTCTCTGTGTAGCTTTGGAGGACATGATGCATTTTTAAATATTATTTTTTCTAAGCATCACTTTTTTCCATCTTTTTTTATTTGAATTATAAACAAGATTGTTTTACATGTCAATCCCAGTTCCCACTCCCTCTCCTCCTCCCCTACCACCCCCCCCCCAACTAAAACCCTACCTATCACATATCCTTGCTGCTCCCCAGGTAGGGTGAGGCCTTCCATAGGGGGCCATCATATCCTTTGGGATGGTCTAAGCATCACTTTTAAAAAAGGTTCTCCGTTGTGGTTATGCATATGTGTCTTCCTGTGAATGTGTGCACATCATTGGAGGTGCTCATGAAGACCAGAGCTCTTCCCTGGGGGCTGGAGTTACAGGTGGTTATGAACCACTAAAAGAGGGTTCTAGGAACCAAGTCCTTGTTCTCTTGAAAAGCAGCAGTGCAGAGAGAGACCTTGTCTTAAAAAAAAAAAGACCTATCTATCTATCTATCTATCTATCTATCTATCTATCTATCTATCTATCTATCTATCTCTATCTATCTATCTATCTATCTATCTAGCTCTCTATCTGTCTACCCATCTCTGTATGTAATTTTTTTTTTTTTGTTTTTTTTTGAGGTAGGGTTTCTCTGTGGCTTTGGAGGCTGTCCTGGAACTAGCTCTTGTAGACCAGGCTGGTCTCGAACTCACAGAGATCCGCCTGCCTCTGCCTCTTGAGTGCTGGGATTAAAGGCATGCGCCACCACCGCCGGGCTGTATATGTAAATGTTTATGGAAGGGCTGGAGAGATGGCTCAGGTAATTTAATGAAAATTATGTACCTTAATATTTGATGCATATATTTTATACTAATAGGTTCTGAACATGTCCCCAATATGTTAATATATGGATACATGTGTTGTGACCTGCCTTGCCTATTTTAATTTGAGGTTAAAGTCTAATTTATCAGATAGAAGTATGCCTATCCAGGGCTGGTTTTATTTTCCACTTGCTTGGTATATTGACCTTCATCCTTTTATTTTGAATCTCTTTGCCAGTGAGAGTGTTAACTAGACAAACAACTTAAGTGGGTGTTGTTTTAAATCCAACCAGTTATTCTTTGCCCGGTAACTAGAGAGTTCAGACTAGGGTCGTTATTGGAAGGTATTTGGCAATTCTGGTCATTTTCTTGGATGCTCAGATACTTGGTTGAATGATCTGTTCATTTCTTTCTCCTGCATTATTAGTTGTTTACTTTTCTAGTTTTTGTCCATTCTACCATTTTACAAAATAGTTTTTGAAATGCTGCTTTTTTTGTTTTTTTGTTTTGTTTTGTTGTTTTGTTTTTGTTTTTTGAGACAGGGATTCTCTGTGTACCTTTGGAGCCTATCCTGGCACTCGCTCTGTAGACCAGGCTGGCCTCAAACACACAGAGATCCTCCTGCCTCTGCCTCCCAAGTGCTGGGATTAAAGGTGTGCAACACCATACCCAGCTTGATACCAGAACTTTCTATGTCACATCTTCTGTCTTAATGGCAGGAGCACTGTCATATTCGATATAAATATGGCTAGACATTAACATTTAGAGACATAGTCAATGAATTTCAAAGGCAGGAGGAATGCCCACACCTTGACGGATCAAGGTGAGGTGGAATTGAAAACTGAAAACAATTGGATGTGATAGTTTGCGTACAACCCCAGTGCTCCGGGGACTTTGCTATGAGCTTCAAGGATTTGAGACACCAAACCTTTCATCCCAGCACTTGGAAGGCTTAGGCACGTGGATCTCTTTGAGCTTTGAGACCATCCTGTTCTGCAGAGAGCTCCAGGCCAACACACTGGGAGCCTGTTGTCAAAACAACATAAGCAAAGAAAGAAATTTCAGAACGATAATATGCAACTACGTTTAAAAAATAAGCACACAAAGAAATGGCCAAATGAATGAATACACACCACAAAATTTGATGGCATATATCCTTAAAGAAAACAGGTATTATGGGG